CAAGATAAAAATTTCCATTAACACAAAAACTTTATAAAAGTAAAGGGAAAGGTAGGTCGTCCCTCCGTCCCCTGTCCCCGTCCCCTATATTTTTTGCAAAGAACCCAAAAAAGATTGGGAGTACCTCGTCGCACCAACCATCCTCAAAAGTTATATCATTCTTTTGAAAGTCAATTAATAACGGTGCCAACAGGGGGAGAGAATTATAGATGAAACCATTAGATGGGGAACAATAATCAAAAAGACTTGTTTACAATAACTAGTTCTAAGGAGGAAAAAAAAAAACAGAAAAGAAAAGAAAGACACATAAAATAAAACCAACTTAACTTTCTAGTTCACCTCTTATCCAGTCCTGTGAACACATCAAAGCCTGCACGGTATTAGGCCGCAACAAACGCCAATTAACATCAAGCATCCTACCTTCTGTGCTGAATGCTGATTCAGATGAAATTTTGGATATGGGAATCCCCAGAATATTGCGTGCCATCATAGATAGGATAGGATACCGTGGAGTATGAACTTTCCACCAATTCAAAATGTTGAAGTCAGCATTTCGAGGAAAAAGAGGTTCCTCCAAATACTTGTCCAAATCTGACTTAGAGCTTTGGTTCTGACCAGTTTCATGAAGGAACTTGTCAAATCCCATTAGCCTATCCCTGGAATCTTTTCCAGAGCCAGTTATGCTGCCAGCACTACCCTTCACCTCCCACGCCAGACCTTGATCAAGAGTAGCTAATGGAGAAACAATGGAATGTTCATTGTAAAGTGCCTTGATGCACTCAAACACATCATCAATAAGTTCTGAAGCACTATCACCATATATCTGCGGGTAGTAGTACTCTAAAAGCTTCATCTTGAATCGAGGATCCAACATGGCTGCAAGGGCTAGACACAAGCTGCATTTCTCCCAATAGTCATCAAACTTCTTTCTCATCTTTGCAGCCAGAGAATTGATATAATCATCTGGATCCTTGCACCATTCAATCAACTGCAAGTGCAAATCACAAACCTCAGGAAAAAATATATTTGCAGTTGGATTCTTGTTTCTAGTGAAAATGCTTGTAATTTCAACAAACAGCTTCAAGTAGCCAGCAATGGTGCTCACTCTATTCCATTCCAAATCAGATGGGAGGAACTTCATGTTGTCAGGATCTCGTTCTCGCAATTGGGAAAAAGCTTCCCTGTATTCTAATGCAACTTCAAGCATAAAATATGTTGAGTTCCATCTCAACGGACTATCAAGACATAAGCAATTTTTACTCTGATCCAGCAATTCTTGAGCCAGTCCACTAAACACAGCTTGAGTCTCTTGTGAACTTTTAACATACCGAACACTTTCACGAATTTTCTGGGCAACTTCAGACAATGCTTCCATGATATCTTCAACCATGTGATTCAAAAGATTTACCACACAACGAACGTCAAATAATTGACCATTACAATAAAGAAATCTGTTCTGGGATAGACGATCTCTGATTCTCTCAACAATAGTGTCACTTGTGGAACTATCAAATATCATAGAGAACAACTTACGGTCTATGTCCCAATCCATCAGACATGACATCATTGCCTCTGAGTGCATATCTTCTGTATAAGAAGGTTCAATCAGAAGGAAACTTAAAGTCTTCTTTTTTAATTGCCAATCCTCATCAATATAGTGTGCTGTCAAACACAAGTACTCTGCATCTTCTGCAGCAATCCGTGCATCAGCACTAACACTGATTTTCCCAGGCAACTTGTCAAAAACTTCATATACCTTCTGTTTCTCATTTGCATATATTTCTAAACAGTCAGCCTCAACTTTGTTAAATGTCACAAGCTCAAACAATGGCTGTAGGTTCTTTACAAAAACTCTGAATCCAACATGCTCAACCATTGACAATGGATAGCCATGCAATATTATCATACGGGCAAGATCAAATTGACTTCGCCTCTGATCCAAGTTACTACTACCAGAATTAACAGTCTCATTTTTAAACTGCTTCTGCTCATTTATAAGATTCCCAACATTAAGCACTTCATCCTTTTTCTGCTGATGGTCAACAGTTACAAGAGCAAGGGACCTTTCCTTCCTCTTTTCCCTTGGTGAAAAATACGTAGGGATACCATGATTAGGTCTTATCTGACACCTACGCAAATGGTTTCTCAAATGTGACGTCCCACTTGTACTTGATCCACTAAGCTTCTTTTTACAATGCCTACAAATAGCCACAAAGGTGTCACCCTTTTTTACCCTATCAAAGTCATTCCATACATCAGATTTCAATCTGCTAGAGTTAACAATGACTGCATCTGACATATCCATCACATGAAACCTTGAATTTTACCAATATCTGCACCATAAAAGAATAAACACATGGTCTCAATATTATTTACAATACCCATCATTGAGTGGGGGAAAAATAAAAATAAAAGTTAGCCATCAAGCCAAAAGAGTATCTATTTATAACCATAAACACTGCAAGTTAAAAGAAAAAAAAAATCCTGATAATAATTGGAGCAAAACCTGGTAAAATAAGGTCCCAAAGTGAAATGATCATCTATGCTTTTCCAACTCCAAATATTCTTCAAAATAAAAAGATTAAACTATAGTTTCTAACTTTACATTTTATTTTCAATCTCAAGGTTCAGACCCAATAACATCCATCCCCAATAGGATACAATGGCAGAATAATAGCAATACAATGTCACCAAATGTTATTAATTATTCTTTCTTTTGGACAACATATCAGCAGACAGAAAGAACTTAAATCAGTTACATACAGTAGATAAATATCTAAAAAGGGAAAAGACTGCATTCATATTTCTCTAAGTTACTTCGTAGCTTTGACAATGAACAAGAATCAGCCAAGGGTGTAGTGCTATGCACTACCTCCAAAATCATACCACAACACTGCACAAATAGAAGAATATGAAAATGGAAAAATGAACTGACTTAAAAGACTATATATTCATGAGATGATACATAGTTCCTTCAATTTTCTATATAACGGAGAAGGTGAACAATAAGATGGCTTTGCTTGGAAATGCTTCTCGGTTACTTTAGCTTTTGGTTTTTTTGCCCTTTTATTATCCTATATATATATAATATTTTTGTAATATTAAAAGACTAAAAACCTATAGCTATAGAGTAGCTCTCCCAAACTAAGCCATAGTTTTACTCGTCCATCAAAGAGCAGAACACATGAAAGAGACAGAAGCATACTCAAATTCGCATATGCATCCTAGATTAAAAATTTTACAGAAATTATACCCTGTAGCTCACAGTTTGTGTGAATGATATTCCTCAATAATGGTTTGAGAAAAATGAAAGCTTTTTCTGTACCCCATTTTTTATTCACCTTTTTCCTTCATCCCCATTTTCTACTACCATATAAAAAGCAACCCCCACTAATATAATATGCTATCTTTAACCTACACTACACTGCAATTATTGAGAGCACCAAGTTGATCACACTTCATTCCCAGAAATCCTCAACTTTCATATATAACAAATCAAATAATAATAATAATAATAATAATAATAAAATCAATAAGGAAAAAGAAAAAGAAAGATAATCCAATAAGACATCCAAACAAAGCAGGATTAAAGAACATTCCCCATCAAAATAAATTAATAAATAAATAATAAAACAAAACGAAAATTTCCTTTGAGACCAAATCAAATCCTTATCCAATAAAAAATCATTCGGGTGAGGCTTAAATCATCCTGAATTATTATTTCCCCTTTCCCCTGAAGAAAGAAGAAAATTTAAAGCAACTTATGCAAATTAAAACAAATAAAAATTTTGCCTTTCGGGTCGGGCATGTTCGGAACTAGAAGAACGACGCCATGAACGGAACCCTAAGATCAACTGATGGACAAATTTTTGCAAAACCTGAATCGGGTAAGGGGATCCGCTGGAATCGGGTCAGATGGCCGGACCAGAACCCGATGGGTGTCGGATCGGAGAATAACTTAAAAACTTTTTGTGTAAAGGAAATTTCTAGAGAGAAATTAGTTTTAACATTCAAAGGGGAATACAAATTAACATATAAAAACGAGAATCTTACAAGGCAATCGGAGTTCGAAAGACGTACAGAGGAGCGCCGGCGGAGAATATCCGAAGGGTATGCGGCGGAGACCCGACTGATTTAGGGTTGGGTTTCATAGATTTTGTTTTTGATTGAGGGTGACGCTGAAGGGGTAGATATGGAAATCGGCTGCACTTTTCTCGAAAGGGCCCGCAACAATTTATCCTCTTTTTTTTTTTCTTTTTTTTATTGATGAGAATAGTTGGGAAATTATTGGGAAGCTAATTTGTTTATAGAAAAAGTGTTTATAAGATTATATTAAATTATATTAAATTATATAATTATTTAAATAAAATAAGTTTTTTAATAATAAAAGTTTTCCCTTTATTTAATAATTTTTAATTTAATACACTTTCAATTATAAAATATGAGAATTTTTTTTTATTTTTTTGTAAATTAATTATTTCAATCATTTATTGTACTGATTAATTTTAACTATAATTGTCACATAAAACTCAACTCTCAAGATATCGAGCATGTTCATTAGAATTGTTTATATTTAAAAAGGTATTGGAGGGATTTAAACTTGCAATGTGTGATGAGAATAATTTATTAATTAATAATTGTTAGTTAACCATAATAAGTTATTTAAAAGTTACTTGAGTATATAAAAAATTAAAAAAAATATTATATTCAACCAACACCTAATGATTTAGTAATAATTTTTTTTCAACAAAATAAAGATGTCTTGAGATTAATGGAAAAATGTCACTCTATCTTTTTGTTGACGAAATAACACAAATGAGCAAGAAATTAAAAGAAGCTTAAGGACCATTTAAGGGAAAAAAAAAGTTTGGGAACCATGACGGAAACAAGTTTCTAAGTTGGAGGACTATTATGTAACATTCAACCTTTCTTAAATTCACATCGCACAGCTAAACTTAGATTTTAATAAATGTGGTGTTTGTAAACTCGAGAATCTTACCTTAAAACTATTTAGAGAGGTTCGGGGATAGGTTTGAAAATGGAGAGATATAAAGATAATAATAAAGTAAATTTATTTGTAGATATCTAAATAATAAAACCTAATAAACTAGTATTTTCTTATAAGTTAAAAAAAAAATACCTAAAGCAAATTTATTATTTAGTCTTTACAAATACATACTTCATCTCCACAGAAAGTGGTATTAAAGTCGTGTGATCCATACAATGGTCTCAGCAAAGCTAATGGTTGTAGATCTTGGATGATATCAAATGCAACAAGTTTAGAGTCAACTCTACAGTTGGAAGTTGATTTTGACATGGTGTTGTGATTCATGCATTTGTGTACAGATGTTTTTGGATTTTTTGTCATCGACCATTTGCGTGCAGATGTTGAGTTAGGTAATGTGAGAGTGTGCGTGTGTGTTGAGAGGTGCCTCCACTCATGAGAAGATTCTTCCACCCAAATAAAGTGTCAAGATAACTACTGTGTATAGATTCAATAACAGGTAAAGCAGGTGGAGTGGACTGGATGTAATGTTAAGGCTGAAGTTAATTTCTTCATGAACCTCAGAATGAATAACATTCACTCTCATGGGCAGCTAATTAATCATGTGAATCAAAAAGCCAACGAGAGAGATTGTTATTGTTTCACTGTTCACATGTGAATATGAAGTCCCACGTTAAAAAGAGATAGGATAATAATAATAATGGTTTGCTATAGCTTATCTTTAATTTTTTTTTAAAAAAAATTTTGATTATAAACACTTTAAATGTTTAAAACTAAAATTTCCTTCCAAAATAAAAATTTCAAATTTAAAGAAAAAAAAAATGCTTATAAACAAGTAAGCAACCCATATAAAAACTCTGCTAAACACCCAAAGATAAATTGTAGTACACTTTGCCAAAATTCACGTCCCTTATTTTCTAGTTAGTTCTTAGAATTAGAAAAGTGACTATGAAAGAATAACAAAGGTTGGAGGAGAAAGAAAGGTAAGGTATACGTGCGCTGCTTTCGATTCTTTTCTTGTTGCCACAGGAAAGAAACAAAATGTTCTTTGCTTGTTAAAAGCAACCCACGTACGTATTATATATACTCCCTTTAAATACATTTCCACATCTGAATGTTTGCATTACTCGCTCATATCTCACCCAACTCTTTAGGTTTTTTTGTGATCAAAAAGGACACAAGAAGTACACTACTTTTGGATACATATCGATCATGGGTGTTCTTGCAGTAATGGCGAAACATTTGGATGCAATAATCGGGTAATAATTTTTTTCATTTTGGATATATATCCAATATTAATTGTCATATAGGTGCATATATGTGTAACTCAATATTCTTTTTTGATGGTTTGTACTGATGCCTTTATTTTATTTTTTTTCTAATTAATTGGATGAGGAATTGCAGGCCTGGGGTGATGCTTCTTTATCCTCTGTAAGCATAAACATTAACTGACATTTGAATGAGCATTATTTCAGTACGCATAATATATGTATGAACATTGAACACATATGAATATACAGGTATGCTTCACTGCGTGCCATAGAAACTCCTTCAGCCCTGGATGACCAACAATGGCTCACATATTGGATCATTTACTCACTCGTAACCCTATTTGAGCTCTCCTCTTATAAAATCCTTTCTTGGTACGTATCTATATATGTGTGTGTATATATATATATATGAATTAGGAAAATAAAAAAGGAAACACAACAGATTAATTAATTAATATTGGAAATATATATATATATATATATATATATGGTGCAGGCTTCCGTTTTGGCCATACATGAAGATTGTTTTCTGTGCCTGGTTGGTGCTGCCCGTCTTCAACGGGGCAGCTTATATCTATGACACACACCTGAGGAAATATGTGAAGATGGGTGTAGCAGTTGGTGGTGGCAGCAGCAGCAAGTATACAGAGGATCAAAGGAAGGTACTGCAGATGATGAGCCTGGACGCCAGGAAATCAGTCATTCAGTATGTTGACAAATATGGATGGGAGGGTGTGGAGCGAGCAATCAGAGCGGTAATATATATCTATCTATATATATATATATATTGAAATCAAAAACCAAAAAAAAAAAAAAAACCTCTTTAGTTATAAATAACTTGATTTGATAAGCTGCTCAATTTTTGCAGGCTGAACGAGAAGCAAAGAAGCGATGAATTTCAACAACAATTTCGTTTCTGTTTCTGTACAAATTATATATTTCAAGCGAATGTTCCTTTTTATTTGTTTTATCTGTTAATTTCCACAGCTTAAATGATGTTTACATATACAATAACAAAAATATGTATATATGTAGGTGCTGAAAATTGCCAATTACTTGTTGATTAGTTTCTAGAAGAGATTGTGCATGGTTGTAATCGAAATTTGTAATATTATTGTAAACAATGTGAAGGCCTGTATTTGTTTTTTGTGCACATTTTTGCTGCATAAACCTTCCAAACAATTAGCCCCTTGACATTAACAGAATACATTTGTTGCTGGAGGAATTCACATTAAAGCATCCACTCAGATCAGATCCATGTTTACAACAGTGTTACAGATTTTTAGTACAAAGACTGAATTAAACAGTACCAGATTACATATTTCAATTGCATGCGTATTACCACGCGAGTGCTGAAAGATGCAAGCATTAAGTGCCGCTACAAGATACATTCACCTGCAGAATCGATGGAGCACAACTGAATTAAACCGAATCAAAGAACAATGCGTAGCAGGATAAGCCTTGTACCTAAAACCTGTAAATTTTTGTTGACTTCTGAGACCCCAACAAGCTACTACAGTCAGTCACTGATGCAAAAGGGATAGTTGAATGGATTGGCCGGCTGTTACACTTATTCATCTTCTGGCTAGGTTTCAGTATATGTTTTACCCCTGCACTTAGTTTACGAGGACCTAGTCTTGCCACACCATCCACCCTGGAAGAATCAGTGTCAAAAGAAGCTTCAAGCTCATTGCAAGGAGGGTCATTCGGAATCCCTCCTGCACAACTGGCTTCATCCCTGCTGAACTCAGTTTCAAGAAATTCGGTGCTACACTGGACATTCTTACAAATATTTTCTGTTGCCATCTGTGTGAGACCTCCTAAACCATCTTGAATTCCTAGTTTAGCTATCTTTGTCGGATTTGCCGAGTAATCTTCTTTAGCTCCAGGCCTCTTTTTTGATTTCTGACACATATCTGGAAACCTGATATCTTTTAACTTCATCCTGTCTTTGACCTGGATTCTGTTTCTCTGACTCATGTTAACAGAAGGAGCTGGGCAATCTCTTGGAAGAGATGGAATGAGTGGGGAGTGAAATACAGATGGTGGCCCAAATGGATTCTTCCCACATGAGTGAGTGATCATTGGACTGTGATCATATGAAAATATTGGTGAATGATGCACCGATGGGTTTGGAAAAAGGTTGGTTTGGGGTGTACAGGGATGATATGTACCACTAGCCACATTTGGAAAAGATTGCGCAGGTACAATAGGTTCCCCTACCTCATGTGTTGCTTGTAACAACCAAGGGATGAAGGTCTTAGAGGGGCTTTGCAACAAAAATTGTTGGACATTTTCACCATGATCTGGATGCATGAAAGGAAAGTTGAGAGATGATTGTGTAGCATTGAGCAGATTCTGCTTGTACTTAAGTTCAGCAGAATCCAGATCTTGACACTTTCTGTGAAGAGTAGTTACTAGGGGAAGTTGAGACGTGATTCTTACAGCTCCAGTTTCTGATATGAAAGGCTCCAGGAAGTTGACTCCACTGCTAAAAATAGCATGGGAAGTGGGTGCATGAGAAAAGTGGTATGTTTGAGGATTATGATTTCTGTCGACAGTAGGGTTTTTGTTTTGAAACTCTGCACTAGTTTGCAAGTTGTGGGCTGGCTGAAAGAAACCAGTCTCAAGAGACTGCATCAATACATTGCTTTGACAGGCCAGATCGTTCTTGGATTCAAATGGTGGAAAAGAAGTTTCTTTAAACTTTCCTGAACCTCCATTCAAATACCAGTCACACTGAAAATGTTTCTCAAAAGCAGAATTGTGTCGAGCAGACCTTGTAGAACAATCATCTCTCACGATTTCCTTACCTGTCCAGACCTTTCTGCCTGCCAATCCTTGCATCCCATTGTCACTTTTGCCAATTGTGACATCTTTCCCCATCAATCGCATAGTTGGCAAGGGAGCGTTCAGGAGCATGTGATCTGCATTTTCCTTTCTATGAGTAATGCCAGTCCACTTTTGGTTCTGGAGCTCGTCATATTGCTTGCATGAATTGAGAGAATTCATCATGTTAAATTCTGAATCCAAAAAGTAGAGGTACTGGTTTCTACTCCTTTCAGAATTTAGACAGTGAGTGTCTTCATCTCCAGGAGATGATAATTCAGTAGGACCCAATATAGCTGTTGAATGTACACAAGGGTTCTCTTTGGCATGATTTTGTGCATGAAACAAGTTTAACTGATCATTTTGAACTTCTCTCTGAATAAAATGCTTTTCTTTCATAATTGAATGATGCTCCATATTTCTTGGCCAGATGAAATTTTCATTGCCATTGAAAGAGCTTCTTAATAAGCTTGACTTTAGTTGGTTGAACCCACTTTTACCACTTGAACGGACACAGACTAGTTCACCATGTGAGTTAAGAGGCAAACCAAAAACTTCCCCATCCATGTCATTTTCTCTAAATGCAACTATCTTTTGGTTCCACTCTGGTAGGAGAGATAAGCTGTTCTTTGGTTTGACCTGAGGCAAATGACAGAATGCTTGGTAAGAAAGAGCATGGCTGGTCGTAAATTGTGATGTTAATGGAGCCGTTTCATTGGCTGTTTCAGTCAAAGCAAAACCAGCAGCAGCATCCAGTGCAACTTGGTGAAGGGACACAGATTTATCTGAAAAATTGTTTGCCTTTTCTTGCTCACCAACAGGTTTCCGTGAAAAACTTGGCGTGTCAACATGATCACAGATACCAGGGAACTGTTGCTTCTCAATCATTATTTGCACCATAGTTCCGTCATCATCACTTCCATTTGTCACGCTTGCAGCTACCTCTTTATCACTTTCAGTGCAATAACCTTTTTTTGATGGATGAATGGAATCTGAACCAGAAACGCATTTCTCAAAAGAAACAACAGTTTTCTTAATTGCACCAGGCATATCATCCTCAACCAAGAAACTAACATGCTTAACTGAATGACAAATGCCTTGATCACTTGCTTGAGAGGCACCCTGCAAGTTACAAATTTTTGAGTTCTTTCCAGAAATAACTTTTCTATGATTCTTGAGAATTCCACGTACAGGAGATGCCAGTTTTTTATGCTCCATAATCAGTTTAGATGCTGCAATGACTTTGCTCTTCTTTCTTGTAGAGAAGAATTTGGAACCTCGTTTCTTTCTATAGATGGGAACAGCACCTGAACCTGAAATGTCCTTTCCAATTCGCTTTTTGCATGATAGACTGTTTTGTTTTCGAGTGAACTTGACTGGATTTTGCAGCTTAAGCTGAGTATTACCCTGCAACAGAAGCATAGCACATTGGCATCAAGGTTTCAAAAATTGAAAAGAATTCCAACTATACAAAAAATTGTAATTATTGTTCGATTCAGGTAAGCAAGCTAACTTGTATGAAGCTAAGCAGTTAAAACCTATGAAAGAAAACTTCAGCTTTTCTGGGAAACCTAAAGCAATTGACTTTACTTTAAATTACTATGTTTATGTCCTAATTGATGTCTGCTTATATGTAAGTTTATCACAAATATTCCGTAAAGTAAACTATTTCAAAAATAATTTTTAAAGCCGTTAATTAATTTCTATATTCTAAAATCAACACATATACATGAAATATTAAGAGCCCCATCATTTCGCTGATTAAAACAAAAAAAAACAAAAAAGCCCCATCATTTCCACATCAGTAGAGGACATTTTTTTTTTATCTAAAAAGAACTGCAATGAATCAACCACTTTAAGGCCCAAATCAACCCAAAACAGTCATTTTTTCTTACTCCTTTATTCTTGCTCTTCCCCTCTTTTTTCCATTCTGGAAGTTGATAAAAGCTTAAATTATTCTAAATTATTGAATATTGGATGCAAGTAGGATTTGATATATTCATGGACTAAAAATGTTCTATTTCCAATTGAGAGTAGTCATCTGGCCGGAATTTGGATCTATATCCAGTTTGAAACCACTAACTTGCCCTTCAAACTGCAGACAGGTACTCAATTAAGATTACTATGTTTCTAAGGAGCCTTTTGTTGCCTTGTCTGTCCAACGTCCAAAAGGAAATGGAAGGATCTTATTCTTGTTGCTTCAACAGTTCTTCCATAAAATTATCAGAAAAAAACAAACCCCTAGCTAGGTGTGTATTGTACCCTTAATTATTCCTTCAAAACATCCTAATCAATAGGTTACCTTAAACAATCACCTACACATCTCAAGAGTACTGGAACAATGAAGGTGAACTAGATCAAAAGCAGCATAAAATAATAAAGTATTGGTGTGTGATCTAATCTCAACAAGCAGCAAATTAGTCATTATAGCTGAGAAAGAAACAGCATATTTCACTAAACAAGTTGATTTCCATGTAAATTAATGCCAATCAATAAGATCATCTATGATCAAACACTAGCCAATTGATCAACTGACTGGTCCATCATCTCTAGCATCTAATTTAACCAAAGAAAAAGGACCCCATGAATTAATAAATGTAATCATCATCAAATTTCACTTCACTCATATATAATCATAATCACATACCTTATTGAGGACTAGGCGCTCCTTCTTCAACTTCTGTTGTTTCTTCTTTTTCTTCACCATCAACTTCCTCGCAATTGTTGCTCTCTTATTCTTTTTCTTGGTCTTTTGCCTCTCAGTCTTGAAATTCCGGTTATCATCGTCATCGTCGAGCCTATGGATCTGCGGCGCGACAGCAAAAATTTCAACGATGGATCGTTTCTTAGGGATCCTTGATTTGGGCTTTGTTTGACTACGCCTTTCCTCCGGAGGAGCTTGAGCGAGGCAGCCGTTCACATTAGCAGCAGTGAAACCACCACAGACGGGACAGTTGACGTCACTACAACGGTGAGATGATGAATTGAGAAGATGGAGCTCGTGCGCCCACCAGCGGAATTTGGTGACAGTGATGGGAGGGAGAAGAGACTGGACAGTTTCTACGCTTATGTTAGTGTCGGGGGCATGAGTGAAGGGCCAGCACTTGGCAACGTCGACGCTCCTCTTCTGAGAAGCATACTCACTGCCAAAAAAACAAAGACATATGAAGGTAAAAAAAAATTAAGAAGAATTAACAGAGAGAAAGAGAAGAAGAGGAAGTGAAGATGAGTAGGTTACCGGATGGAGAAGCCGTGAAAGACAACGGCCATGAAATGGAAATCAGGACTCTCCGGCGAGCAGATAGAAAGCTAATAATAATAATAAATATAAAGAGAAATGGGATGGGAGGAAGAGAGGAAGATGAAGATGATGATGATGATGTGGTTAGGCAATACGCAGACAGACCATTTTCCCGCTTCCTTTTTCCCACCAATTTATGATTGACAGCGACGTAGCAATGTAAAAAGTGGTCAAAGTCAGGGGGAGGGCAGGTAGTTAATATTATATTGAGTGATGTTAAGTAGATAATTATTTTATTTTATTTTTTAGATAATTTTTAAAAATTATTAAATAAGTAAATACATTTAAATTATAAATTTTACGTAAATTAAAAAATAATTATTTTAATGAAATAATAAATTATATAAAAAATAAAATAGAATAGTGTAAAAAAAACATTTCCCTATTATATTATATGGTTTTAAAGTCTTATGTCCTTCGATTCTCCAATTTTGTTCATTAGAATCCTTAACTATAAGAATGTTTGATTGGGAACTACGTTTAGAACTATCACATGTTAATTTTAATTAATTAATGGATAATGCACATATCCATTAGTTCTTAACGTTGATCCAAGTAATATTCTTTGAATAATTCTAGAAAGGGTGGATTTTGAGTTGTACTACTTAAGCACTAAAAACATTAAAAAATACATTGTTCGCATTTCGCAACAACCAAGCAACAATTAGGATCTTGAGGTCTTCCACTTCGTTGATTTTTTTTTTTTTTATCAGACCGTTTTAAGTTTGATAATTATCTTGTTTAACTTTAATATATTTATTTTTTAATAAAATAAAATAATAATAATAATAATAATTAATAAAAAATTCCTTCCCATTCTTCTATTTTCTTATTATACTCTATTTTCTAAATATACTTAAGTTAAAAAGAGTGCCTCAAGTTAGGCGTTTTATAGTTAAAGTAGATTCATAAAGTGTTTTACAAATCCATAGTATACTGGGGCAACATGACTCCAAAATTGATATTCATAATTTATATTAATAAAATAATAAATATAACTATTGGTCTTTGAATATATTCATTAAAGAATAGTATATCTAAAGTTAAAATTTTAATTTTTTAACATGATAAAGCACAAACATTCATATTTCATAATAGAAAAATAAATAAATGTTATGTGTAAGAGCTCTATTAAAGTGAATCCTAACTTTTATAAATGTGACATGCATATACAAGTTACTTCATAAGCTACCATTGAAAAAAAAAAATTATTTTTAAAGCAAATATAAGATTATTTTAATCTTTTTTCATAATACTTTAATGAAAAAAATTTAATGTGTTTTTCTTTCAAATTTTTTAGAGGTGTGACCATTAGATGGAGTACTCTTTATCATCTAATGATTAATGTTTTATTGTTTAAATTGCAAAAATTATATATATTCTAACTTTTAAAAATGTTATTTTAATATTTTTTTAAAAATTTATTAAAATGATATAATTTTAAAAACTTTTCCATATATATAATAAGGCGATTACAAATTACAAAGTTTGTTGTTCGGAAGTTGAAACAAATTCTTTGAAGATGGGGTGTTGAGACTTCTTGAGTACAAAAAAGTTTCTGAATTATTATACTCTAATTTTAATAGTGAATTCATTTTTTTTTCTTTTCCATGAACATAAACTTACTGAAAAATATATAAATCAAATATGTTAAATTATTGTTTTAAATTCTTTGATTTTTGTTTGTATGAAATTGTGATACTCAAAATTCTCAACAAAATTATCTTCCATATAAGTTTTACATAAAATTATAGCCATTAAATTTTCACATTAAAAAATTCAAATTTATTACAATTTTTTAATTTAAAAGCCAATTATCCTTTAAAAAAATTAAAATGTAAATTAATTTTAATTATTTATTGGTAAGAAATTATTCATAGGTAAAAAATGAGTAGTAAATTTTTTATATAAAAGTTGTGTAAATTTTATGTATACATTGATTCATACTTAATACTTGAAGTGCTACTTTTCCACCATCCTCTTGTTATCAACCTGACTCGAAACCAAAGGCTCATGGATCTCAACCCGCAAGAAATCTTCAGGATTTGATTATTAATCTTTAAACTTTTCCTAAAAATGAGAATTTGAAGAAGACAAGCCTTCAAAAACTAGATAAATAATAAAGTAAAATAAATTTCATGACACAAATCTCAATAAAGAAAGGTTTTTTTTAACAAAAATTTTTAAAAAATTACTTTAAAAATAAATTTTTTCCCATAAATTTGAAATTTTATTAGAAAAAATTTAAAATTAAGTTTTAAAGTAACTTTAAAACAAATTTAAAAAAAAAATTAAGTATGTAATTTTCACAAAATTTACTTAAAACTACTTTAAAAACTAATTTTTAAAATTTCTCTCCAATAATTTTTCAAATTTATAGGAAAAAAAAATTGTTTTTGAACAAGTTTGCCAGACAACAATATAAATGAAATGTTCCTCGAAGATCAACTAATATTATTTATTTATTGGGCCTAAAAAGAATGGACCCCTACTATTATTTTTCTATCAAAGTTACGGTTATTACTGCCTTATTACCAGACACAGCTCTGTATCTTACAGTCCAAAAAATGAGGTGAATTCCACCATGAGAATGAAGACAAGATGAGAAAACAAAAACAATGCGTATACAATTGTAGTTTGTGCAGTAAATTTTAATCACTTCTAACTTGAATGGGAAAAGGAATGGGAAAAAGGATAATACTCAGGCAAAAGAGATCATCATCTAAGTGTAGAGCGGGAAGAACGGCTGCTTGGATTTGACCGATCTCTCTTCAACATGTGTTCAAAGTTCTGTAAGCATCTGAGTGGTCCAACCTGCAAGATACGCCAAATGAACAAGTTAGAAAGGGTAGACCCAATCTCGGATGTCTTTTCCACAAGTACAGATAATAAAAATGTCAGAGAGCAAGTCAGATAGAAGCTTTAGAAACTCAAGTTATGTCCCACTCAGACCTTTTCAATTAAGGCAAACATCCATTTCAAGTTCAATTTTTAGACAAGCATATCTCAGAGAATCTTTACAACAGATACCATTGCTGCACATGCTGTACAGCCAAGGAACACAAAAAATAGTGTTACTGCATGACTGCATCACCAAATGGTAGGCGGTAAACGCTTCATAGAATATATATTTCCACACTAATCCCACACTTTCTCCCTTTTCTTTTTATTAACACGTTTTCTTTCAACTTTTCTTTTTGTCAATAAATAAACTGATTCCAACCCTCATAACATATATCAATCTAGTCTTCTAAAAATTTTTTTGGACATCAATTCATTCTAAAAAAGAGACAACCTAACCCGCACTGAAAAACCTAGACCTATAAAATCATTTACTGGAGTCACAAGCTGCTAAAAGAGATCTACTTTTTGAGAATGATCACCCAACAGCACAGAAAACACAGACACAGAGAGAGAGGATACCTTCCAAAGCCTTCTCTGAGCAAGTTGATTACTTATTTGATCAAGTCTCAAAATTATTTCTCTGAAGGGGGGTCTCTTGGATGGCTCCTCACTCCAGCATTGCTCAATTAACCTATAGTGATACCAAAATACCACCGTTAAAATGAGAACTCAGACCAAGTCACAAAAATTTCAAAAAGAAAAACACAATATAAAGAAGTTATTTTGAACCAGCAGCCCCCCGTTAGTGGCCACCCAGGTTTCTTTTGTTAGTCACAAGCAGTTAAGCACCTAGCACTCAAGATTACAAGCAGGAACTAGACCAAAAGAGTAAAATAAATACAATAGTGCCTTACAAATAGCTAGGGGTTTGGGATTAAGAACTCATAGACATTGAGGCTTCAAAAGAACTAAAATGTCTAGTTTCCTTCAAAACATGACACCACAACGAGCTTAAACTCCAATGGTTTCATGACAAATGGCCTAGTGGTTGTGATCTGAGACCCTGCTTGTTATAATTTACTGAAGGGTCATGCTTGTGTTGGTTATAATTTATTGTATTTTTTTACTATTAATTTACATGGAAAAAATAAAAGTTGACTTTAGATTTATCAACCACTTAATTAAATTGTTTCACGTGGCATTGGTGTTGAACATAAAGTTTAGTTTCGTAATTTCCTATACAAATCAATGGAAAAAAGGTGAAATAAACGCAACCTAAAGGCACAGGTTAGAAAAACCCATTTAATAATTGATATGCAATGAAAGCCAAGTAACATTTCAAAACAGATACAACACCTTAATCACATATGGCAAGTTGAATAAAAAAGAATTGGGGAAAGAACAATCATGAATATTCAAGGACTTACTCTTTTAGACTGTGGGCATAATGCTTTGCAGGAGCTCTAAATGGTGGGCGCTCATTTGCAACATATAACTTAGGAACTTCATTTTCTTGCTTTGTAGGAAATGGTAGACAACCTTCAATCATCTACAGCAATGACAAATAGAATATTATTGCAACCCCAAGAAACATAACTATTCATTAGAAAGTAAATCTAAACAAGACACCTCATAGATTCCCCACAACTAGGGTTGTAAGTGAGTCGACTAGCCCGAGCTCAACGCATTTGCTAAACAAGCACGACCTTGATCTTGAACTCAATAAAAGTCCAAGAGAAGCTCAATAATCTTAAAAAATAAATAATTAGCCTGAGCTTGATTCATAAAGGAGCTGAACCCAAGCTCAAGTGATTTATGGCCCTACCAGCCACAACAACGGTCAAGCATCTTTCATGGAATCAAAAGACCAAAAAGCAGAGGGTATAAAAGGTAGAAGAGCCTCAAACATACCAGGCAAACTTAGAAACTCTAAAAGATCATACACACAAACAGTCAAACAGTCATAGGGAAGCCAAGTAAAATCACAAATTTGTAATATAAAAACATTTACATGTAAAGAAAAGAAGTTACAAATAACATAGCTAAAAAAATATAGGTCCAGATACTGATATTCATCAAATCATTTCATTCTTTAAGTTAAAAAATAGCAGTGGTAGACCTTCAGCAGTGAGGTGAGACACCATTTAAACATAAGATCATAGCATGGAGTTAAAATTGCATATTAAATGCAAAATTTTTATTTAAACATGTCCCTTGCAAATTTTGATGCTGTTTAGTATCAGTGGCACAAACTTTTGAGCTAAAACAACAAAAATTAAAAACTGAAAATTGATAACCTGAACCTGTTATGTAAAAGATAAAAATTGAAAACCAGAAACCTATTCAATTAAATTTTTTTCATCTTTATTGTTTGTAATACATTTTTTCCTTTTGGATGATATGAATATCCGGACTTTTGGCCCAATGAATCCCATAGATACTTGCAAACCACTCCGTCCACAAGTACCAGCTAAGGCTCCACCTTCAAGGGTGGTAGATGTGGCCTATTGCAAATGTAGATTCAAACTTGCATTCTCAGAATGGTTCAAATGACTCCTTAAGCACAGGAGCCAACCCCAATGATTAAAATGATACAATAATTAAAGAGGAAAAAAAAAAGCATTTACTATTAGAGGATAATGTTATTTATGTATATCTTAAGACTAGGGATCCACTTATACACAAGTTTTACACACGACACTTACACAAAATCTCAACCAATCATTTCTCCACTTTCAATGGTTGAGATATATTCACATTTATTAAAAATAATTATTTTTGATCTAAAAAGTCATGATAAATCTCAACCATAGAAAGTGGAGAGATGAATGGTCAAAATTCTGTGCAAGTGTGTCCTGTAAAACTTGTGTGTAAATGGATCCTTCCTCATATCTTAAACATTTATAAATTACATGTATATAAAAATATAAAAATTAAGAAAATATTACTATAAGATTAATTAGTTAATAACAATAATATATTATTGTTTATCAGTAAGATTTCTAAAAAATTAAAAAGAAAAACACTCAATAAATCACTATGGGAAAAGACCACAACAATCTCGTTCTTGCTTTAAAATAAACTATTTTAGTCCTTTTTAATAGTAACAACAACAACAACAACAACAACAACATATATGAGTATATTAGCAGCCGTGCCAAACATATTATCAGAGGAAAGAGAGGTTACCTCTTGTAAGATCAAAGCAAATGAAAACACATCCACTTTAGTCTCATATTCTTCATTTCTATAGACCTCTGGTGCCACATATCGCCCTGTTCAAGACAGATGGATGTATCATAAACCATTTACTTAATGTATTAATTCAGTTCTCAAGAGTTTAGTAAAATTAAAGCAAGATCTTTTAAATGCCAGCATAGGAAGCTTCTATGTCATTACATGCAGTAGGCTGCACTTAACAAGTTATGGGCAAAACATTGACCACAAACCAAAATCACCACTTTTCCCTTACTAATGAAGCCCAAAAAGAAATGATGGATTTTAACTTCACTAGCTACATTGGCAAGCCTAACTCAAGCAAACAATGAAAAAACCATGAAGAAATGGTGTATACGGAGTTTCACTTGAAGTAGAAAACTTACAAGATATCTCGTTACATGTGACAGGTTTGTCTTCTTTAACTGTATTTGCAACTATAAGAAGCTTACTAAGTCCAAAGTCTGCAACTTTCAGATGTCCGGAATCATCCCGCAATATATTTCTGTTATCTTACACATAAATCATTAAGAACTTGCAATAGTTTAGAGTTCTAACCATTCAGGTATCAACAATGTTAAGAAGGTAACCAGCAAATAACTTGGAGGAAGACTTACGAAGGCTCAAGATCACGGTGAATTATTGCTTCAGGTTTATGCTCATGCAAATAATTCATTCCCCTGCAAAATAGATTATGTATAATATTTCATCATGTAACAGAATGATGTGTAATAAATCAAAATCCCATTGATACTGGTACAAAAGCCCAAAACTGAAAACTTTTTGATGAACTTCTTATTGAAGTTAATTTCACAAATGATTAGGAAACTATTTTCCTTTAATTCTATATTATGGTATGACCTCAAAAATGACAATTCAGGAATAGTAAAAGAAAACCATTGTAACGATTTCACTTACAAAAATTAAGAACATCTTTTACCTTTCCTACCTCTAGAGTCAACATTGAAAACAACTGATTCACCCATAGAAGATTTCACTTTTCCTGCTTTCATTGTCTTTCCTTCTATTTTATCGAAATTTTCTGCTATTTTCTTTCACATACAATAAATTGTCTAAAAAATTTCAGACATTCCTTGTAATTTTGAACTTTCATGAATGGGAAAAAGAAAATTTTATAATTTCTTTAAGAAAATTAACAGAGTGAATTTCAAACATGATTTAGATAACCATGAAATCCGCTTTGGGAGGACCAATTTGGCATTTATGGATGGTAGTGGACCATTGTGTTAACACTGTTCAATTTATTATATTTTTACAGCTTAAATGACAATAGACGCAATGAGAGATCTTCTAATTGATTCAAGAGACTTACATGTTGGATTGGATCTAGAATCGCTGCAATGAAATCCTCTACGAATTTATGAAACATTGAATTGGAGGATTTTTTTTTAAAAAAAAGAAAATTAGAATAGAGAATTAAGCTATATACACTTGAAATGCTTATCATAGAGAATTTTGTGCAGCTTGAAAAAATTATAGTTCTAAAGACTTATTTAAACTTGGTAGATATATAGATCAGGCATTAATTAATAATTTTACAAATTGCCAATAGAAAAAAGAGAACAAATCTAGTGAGAAAAGGGCCTCACAGACCTAGCAATGTCAAGAGCAAACTTTACAGCAAGTGTTCGCTTTAAGGCACCTCTTTGCTTCAAATATGCTCGAAGATCGCCCTAAATTATGTATATAGTGCAAAACATTAATTTAATGTAGAATAAAATCATCCATGACCAGATAAACTACATACTACAACATGATTGAGAAGAAACAATAATTCCTTTTCCAGTTTGTCAGAGAATATAAACATATTCCTATAGAAATATGTCAATTTGATTGGAACATTCTTACATGTATCTATTATCTAACAACATTTCAGCAAGGTTTAACATTGGTTCCACGTGAAAAGAGGATTTAATAAACAATGCCTTGAAAAAAGTGGAGCTTCTTGAAAGCCAGGACACAAATAGAAAACTAAATTTAAAATGAGGTTGTAATTTTATTCAAATAGAAAAAAAAAATGATCTGAGAAAGATGTACCATAGATAGGCTTACTCTACTTTTGTATGATATTAGATGATCTACAAATGAGCAAATAGAAAAGAATAGTCTATATCAAAATTATCTTAATTCAATATTAGCAAGAACCAACTTAAGCCCGAAAGTTGTCTAGCTCATAGCTCACATTAATTGCCAAGATTATTGATAATGAATATATTTCTAGTTTCCAACCAAAAACAAATATTTAGATCATCATGAGTATATCATACGAGCAGTATATAACCCACACAATTGTTTCTCAATGAGTTGATATTTTTCTTTTCTTTTTTTTTTTTTATTTCCATTTCTTAATATTTTTATAAAACTAAAAAGTTATTCTATAAGAAACTGTAAAAGATAATAATAGATAACACCATTCAATAATCTGAAGAACAGTTGCAAACATTAAGGATATCAAATAAACTAAAAGAAGAAGTTGAAATCAAGAAACTTGTTAAACCTTAGGCAAATATTCTGTAACAATCATCATTGGACTGCTTTGAGTTACAGCACCCAGAAACTGGACAACATTTGGATGGCGTAGCTTCTGAAGCAATGCAAGCTCATCCCTAAATGCCTTTCTAAAACATCAAAAACACATCATCAAAGCTACAGTCCAGAGATGAGAAAGAATCAAAATAAAATCACAAATTAGTTTATACAAATTAATTGGACAGAAAGGACCTATATACTAGATAATTAAAAGATGGCATTAAACCAACCCACACTTTCTCCTCATCAGTGAAAACCTCCTCTCCAAGTGTTTTAACAGCAACTTTAGTACCACGCCAAGATGCAATCCGAAATGTTCCCTGTGTTACAAAGAGCAATGATAAGTAAGTGAGATTGTATATCTGATCCTTGTAAGTAATTAATTTTTTTCCTTGGGTGATGTTGATGAAGTAATTTATAAATATATATATATATATATAGTTTCTATTACAATTATAAGGCACCCACATTTTAATCATCAAACAATCCTAAACTTCGTAAACTGGAAAAGAAATGTGATGGTGTTTGGTATACTGCAATCTAAAGTGATTCAATGATATTTTTTAACATGTTGTGCAACATTACAACGTTTACTTCTCATTAATTTCTAATGTCAACAATCAAGAATTAAAAGCACAAAGCAACCAAGATTGCTAACAAAATCAACAGACATGGGGGTTAAGTTCTAAAGTTACCTTGGTTATGTGAACACTGTTGGAAAAGTCAAGCTCACTTGGGTCAATTTCATACTCCGGAACTTCACGAGAATTCTGAACGTGCATTGGAGCTATCTAAAATACACGGAAATTACCCAAACAGATAAACACGAATTCTTCACATCAAAATTAAATCTAAATTTACAAGTACAAACATACCGGAGGCGTTGCGCCATGCTTCTCCAAAAGCTTGATCACGTCATGGTTCTTGTAATACACAGCATCTGCCAGAGGCTGTTAAATCAAAAATCAACCATGAATCATGACCGAAAGACAAGCAAAGCTGAACAGAAGAACTTACGGTGCTGCCCCAGCGGTCCCTGGGGTCGACCTCGGCGCCGCAATCAAGCAGCAACTGGACGACATCGGTGCGGCCTTGGCAGGCGGCGACGTGCAAAGGAGTGCGGCCATCAATATCCTTGAAATTGACGTCAGCTCCCAACTGTACAAGCTCTTTAATCCCTTCTAAGTCCCCCTCGTTAGCCATGTACATTAGCCTGAAGCTCGGGTCTATTTCACCTGAGTCATTCCGCTCAGTTAATCCGATAGCGGAGGTGTCCTCGTCCGGTGCCAGAGATGACTGCCTGCCTAGGGTAAACTTAGCCGGCGATTTGGTGTCCATCACAGCAGAGCACGGAGTAGAAGAGAGTTTTTCTGAATGGGAATGGAATTAGGGGAGAATTGGTGTTATGTTGGAAAAATGGGAAAAATGTTCGAGGTGTCTGCTAAAGTTAAAAGTAACTTTTTGGCTCCCAACTTTTAAAAATTAGTTTTTAAAATAGTTTTTAAAAAATTATAGATTTAAATTTTTTTTCAAATTTTGTTGAAAAACTAATTTAAAAGTTAATTTTTAAATTTTATCTAATAAAATTTTTATGAAAGAATGATTTTCTTTTAAAGTAAGTGTTTTTTTAAACTAAGTACAGAAGGTGTAATAAATTTATTTTTATAATTAATTTACCTATAAATATAAAAATATTAAAGTGAACCTTTATTCTAACATTATTAATATGCATATGATTTTAATTAACTAATTAATTAAATTAAAATTAATATTTATATTTTTTACAAATTAATTAGAAAAAAATATAACAAATACCCTTTTAATTTATGTTCTTCAAATATAAATTAAAAATTTTTAAAATTGAAGGAAAAAAAAGTAAGGGAGAATATTGGAAATTTTTTACTTGGAAGAATAAATGAATAAAGAATCTAGTAGGACCAAGGTGTCATTTGCAAAAGGTAGAAATAATGGTTGTCCTTTGTTGTGCCGATAATAGTCTAATTATTGAATATTAAGATGCTAAATTGGCATGCTATTGGATAATATCTTAATGGCTAAAGGTGTAATTCAGCCTCTATAGTTGCATTGTTGTGTTAGGCAGCCCTTTCGACTTTAGGGTTCATACAAAAGATCCATTATGGATGTTAAATCTTTCCATGTAATTTGTGGGATTGTGATTTTTATAATTTAAATTTATGAAAATAGATTAATTTATATGAAAATATTATTTGTACAAGATAAATAAATTAATAAAGTTTTATAATTAAATTGATAAAATAAATTAAATATATTTAATTTGAGTTAAGTTAAGATTGGATAGTTCAAGCATTAAAATGAAAAAATTCAAGGTAGACCCATATAATTTATTGGGTTACATGATTAAAACCCTAGTCTACATGTGCGACACCTTACATTAAAGGAGTGCATGGTAGATTGCACATTCCTAGTCCTACAAGGAGAGGGTTGGTGGCATGTAGAACGAAATATGGAATAAAAGTCTTTTATTCTCTTAACTAGAAGATTAAGTTTATGTAATTCTAATTATATTATAATTACTATTGTTTTTTTTAACTTGAAAATTAAGTGTATGTAACTCTAATTGTAAATTTTAAGGTAAAATAATATGACAGGTACCAATATATATACCCTAAGAAAGAACTAATTTTTTTAACAAATTTTAAGTTGTAAGGACAAAAATGCCAAGTTAACAAAAAAGAAAAGTTAGAGAGAAAATGGCTTGTTCGGAACTCCTCTCCCATGCTTTAGCATTTGGTTTTTACTATTTTTAAGATATTAAAAGACTAGAAACCTAGCTAGCATTCCCAAAGCAAACTAGAAGGGTTAACTTGACAGTAAACTCAAAGCATGAGGGTCGATTTGCCTTGAGTTCTAAATACAAGGGCTGATCCGCCACAACTTCTTAAATAGGAGGGCTGATTTGTACCATATGGCAACATGAATGGAACACATTTAGATTTTTATGGAGGACAAAATTTTTCAAGGTATAACAGTGTTGAACTTATTAACTAGGGTTTCTCAGTTGTCTTGCAGACACAACTCCTTCCATAGTCTACGATCCAACTCATCTCATCACTGCAGGTAATCTTCTACTTCATCTCCCTACAGCAAACTCATAAAGATTTCTTCTTTTCTCTCTTTTCCAAACTGATATGAAATCTGTTTCTTCTTGTGGAGCAGAGCAGAGCGTTGGTTGTGAAACATAATATATCTGCTGATAATCCATCAGGCTTCCTAACTTCATACAGGTTATGCCCATCATGGAAAATCACAATTCCAATGTTTCACGAGCTGAAGAGATCAAAGTCCTCGCTAATGAAGCATTTAAAGGTGCTGTCTTTGTTTCATTTAAACCTGTGCATGTGGGTTTCTTTCTTCTTTGTATTTATAGTGATGCTGATGTTCATGATTATCATTTCAGCCCACAAATATGCTCAAGCTATTGACTTGTATACTCAAGCAATACAACTAAACGGCCAGAATGCTGTGTATTGGGCCAACCGTGCATTTGCCCACACTAAACTGGAGGAGTATGGTAGTGCCATACAGGATGCTACTACGGCTATTGAAGTGGATCCAAAATATTCAAAGGCATGCTTTATGTAATCAAACTATTGTGCCTCCTCTTTATTTTCTCATGTGCCCCCCTTTTTCTTTTCTGACACTTGTCCAAATTACAGGGTTATTACAGAAGAGGAGCTGCTCATCTTGCCATGGGGAAGTTTAAAGAAGCACTAAAAGATTTCCAACAGGTATTTTGTTCACCTTGGTTTTCATCATTTGTATATAGTAATTGTGTTTTTTTACCTAATACTTTGTCTTCAGCAACTACTCCCAGAATTACGTATCCCTTCTGACCAATGGAAAGTCTGCAAGCATATCACGTTATGCTCTTTTGAGAAAGAGAAACAAGATTCTCAAACACAATGCTAATGATAGCTAATTTACTAGTCTTACTATTTCTAAAGAAAGATGCTGTTATTTATGATTTGATGAATATTTTTATTTTCAGTCTCAGCATGGTTGTTTTGCCACTCTTTGAAATGGATCTGTTTGCTTGTGCATTTTCTTACAAGGGGAGTGAAGATTTTCTTTCATAAGCTATTTGTTTAGTTTCATTGGAAATTCTCTTAATTCTCTCATCTGAAGTTCCTTGGTGTGTATGTTCATGCTTCCTTTCTAATTGTGAAATGAGAATGTCCTAAAAAAATGACTGTAGATGTTAAAACGTTTACAAAATGGTGGCAATAACTCCTGTCTGTATAGCAACAGGAAACAGGGGAAGGAAGCTTAAAGAAGTGAATACTTTTCAGTAGTTGCCCAGAAGACATCATGACAAATCTTGGGGAGGAGAGGCATTGAAATTTTTTTAAAATAAATAATTTACACTACGCTAATGCTGGTCACATCAATACGCTTTATAGACGTATGGACCTCTAAGAACCTAAGGAGCTGCTATTTGATACAACTGTCTGATTGCCATGATCTCTTTCTCGTGTGTAGCCAAAGACCTTACCTCTAGAGGTTGAAATTCTGGGCCAGGGGAAATTGTTTAAAGGACCAACAGGAAGATGATGGGTTATGGTGAGAAACAAGTGGAGTGTGTGTGTGTGTGCGTGTGTGTGTGTATAACTTCTTCCTTCCAACGTGCCTTTTAAAATGGATGAGGCCAATAGTATTTAGAAGAAAAGGAAACAAAATAAAAGGATTAAATTATCCCTTGTCTGGTAGTGATCTCTATTTTTCAAATTTCGGAAGCACGGTGGTTGGATATGGATTTAACATTAATCTCTTTGACTCTTGAAGATGCTTTGCATATGAAAAGAAGAATGATGCAGGAGCATAGAGCTCTTTTTAATGATTAGTTTTAGGGCTGTTTGTTTTGCATTAAGTATGAGTTTTATTTGAAATCTAATTTTTAATTTTAGGAAAGTCATTTTTAATTAGGATTAGAATTAGTAGCTTATTAGAAGTTCAATGCTTATTAGAAGTTCAAATTAGAGTTGAATTAGGATTCTTAGCTATTGTTAGTATATATAGTTATTCTTCTTAGGTTTCAAGAACAGTTTTTGTTATGAGATTTTAGTTTGAGAATAAACTTGAGGTTAAAAACCTAAGTTTTCTTGGTTCCATCTTTAATTTTACGGCGTTCTTAGTTTCTGTTTGTTCTACCCCTACCTGCCCTGCATCAAAGAATCACAGCAAGCAAATCCTACCCCAAGCCTTGGAAAATTTTGGTGAAAGGTATCATAAGGAAGAACTCCACAATTTCATCCCCCTCAATTGAGTGGTCTTAGTACTAAAAGTATACCACCTAATGTTCTACCAGTTAAATTCTTATATAGGCCATACAAAGTCTGAATTCTGTGATATCCTTCTGTTTTACCTGTCTTCATTCATTGATGTGTGTGCACAGTTGTACGTTATGCCTTTTTTTTTTTTTTTTTCCTTTTCCTTGGGGAAAAATTTTCAAGTGACTCCTATATCTTTACATATGACACATGGTTGCAAGGAGTTGATGTTTATTCTTCATCTCCTTATCCTTTTTTTTTTTTTAATAATTATTATTATTTTTTATTTTTTTGATAAAATGCAAATTTTATTTATCCAGAAACTAAGCTTACAGCAAAGCAGAAAAACTGGCTGCTACATGGGAAATACACTGAAAATATACAATACTGTAAAATATGCTTTAAGGCTAAAACTTCACAACAGCTTCAAGTCCCCATTTCACTGCAATATCTTTGGGCTAAATATACTGTTTATTCTTCATTGCCTTATCTTTTGACATAGGTCAAAAAGCTTTGCCCTAATGATCCTGATGCTAGCAAGAAACTAAAGGAATGTGAGAAAGCAGTGATGAAATTAAAATTTGAAGAAGCAATTTCTGTGCCCGAGTCAGAGAGGCGGTCAGTGGCTGATTCCATTGATTTCCATACCATAGGTATATTATTTTTCTTTTATATGTTGATGTTGCTAGTTTTGTTTTATGGTTGTTTGTACATTCAATCTCCCTTGTAGAAACCAAATTCTGGGGTAATACTTACTTCCATTTATGTTTCTCCAAATGTTCAAAATCTTGCAACTTTATGATATCTGCTTTCATATTTTTATTGTGTGCTTCTATGAAGTAAACAAGATGTTCCCCTGTCATTCATAAACAAACAAAAGTTGCAGAATTTTCTTGTGGTGGGTCCTTTAGCATGTTGCCTTGTGTATTTTGTCCAATATATAGTTAGGTACGATCTGGGTGCTTTAGGTGGGTTATGTTAATATGGACATTTCATTTTTGTTCATAGAAGTGGGAGATGTGGTGTTGAAAGTTCAATCTCCTTCTGAAGATGTTGTGTTAGTTAATGCAATCATTCAATCCATTCATCTTATGCATTTGGTGGGTGATGTGATATTAATAATGGTTATGCTGCAAAAGCTTTTATATACTAGATTACTGATTGGAAAAGCAGCTAAAAGAAAGATTGAGGATAAGCTAACTGAAATTTGAGAAGTTGGGTAATTGGTGACTGTTGTGCAGTCACAATTGAACCCATGGGCAATAGCCTTTTGGGCTGAATTGGTTTTTTATGTACCTGCTTTATATTACAAGATGATTATTAGCTAGTTATTTAGGTTTTTTTAAATGCTTTTCTAGTCAGGTAATACATTAGGTAGCAGTTGTTGCTGAAGTAGGACTGGTCTATCTTTTAATGATTTTTTACTCAGTTGCACATTGAGCTCTGAAAGTGTATCATAACAAATGTGGCTAGTTGAGGTAAATTGGTAGAACCAAGATACCTTAAGAAATATGAGTTATTGATCTATCGGTTTAACCTCTTAGGTTAAGTGGTTTTGACCCAATATTGACCTAGTGGTTTAGAGTTCAAACTGTAGTGTCACTCTTTCAGTTCCAACTTCCAATAGAAGATAATCATTGAACCTATGCAAAACCTGTATTTGCAAAGGATCAGTGGCATGCAAATGACAGGATTTGTTAAGAAATATATGGTCAGTCAGACTGTTAACATCAACTTAAGCTTTTGGGTTTGACTTTTATGGATGGGGTCAAATGACTAAGGCAGGCCTAGTGCAGTATTTTCTACTAACATAGGGCCTTTCTTGGACATGATTATCAATTGCAAAGGATTCTTTCTCTCGGTCAGTGGTTGGGCCCCCAAAAATGTCTTTATGAAATCTGGCCATATTACATGATCAAATTACTATTATGAACTCTCAAATCATCTCCGCTTTGTCCTTTCCTGGAGCTCATAAAGAATACTGTAATGCTTCTATATGGTGCAAAGGAATTGGAGGTTTTACTTTTTCTTTAAAGAAACCTTTTATGTTTTATTGAGCCAATTCTAATACATATGGGAAGTCCACAGGTTTTGTAATTTCTGTTGAGTAACTTGTATCTGAATTTCATTTGTGGTTTCAACTAATCTTCAAACCAAAGGTTTTTTAGTGTAATTTTCCTTCTTGAAAAGTTTTGCTGCATCTGGTGCTTGAGCTTATTTAATCTTTTCCAACAGTAACTCCATTTAGATGTCTTCCTCGAGACTTTTAAGCTCTTTGATCTAATCATGTTGGCTCAACCGTTCCCTTATGTTTAAGTCAAGCCTGACATCCAGCTTTAGCTGTTTATGTTGTTAGAGTTGGTTCATGCTTCCACAGAGCTTGATCTTTCTTCATTCCTGAATTATTTAGTGATTATTTATTTGTATTACATGGTATGGTAGTTTATGGTTAACCAACATCAAGTACATTATTTTAACCTATTCTATCATAATAGGAACGAGTCCCAGTTCATCATCCATGCCTACCCAAGTGGCTGTAGCAGCAGTTGCAGTGGTATTGTTGGCGGCACTGGTGATGATGGTGGGGAAAGCAACAACCACTATGGTGGTAGCTATAGTGGTGGTGGTTCTAGGGGCATGTTGGTGGGGTGTTTCAAATGGTAGTGGAGTCTTTACTGAGAGTCAAATGCTTGACCTAGATTTTAGCTCAGATTAAAATTAATGAACTAAGGCCATAATCAATTCTTGTAATTGTAGCAATTAATCAGAAGATTGATACATTTGAAAATTAATTAATCTGTTTTAAGTTGGAGAGTCCTTAGACAAACAATTTAGTTTTAATTTAACATTTAAGTGAGGTTTGTTTGTTTCTTTTCCTTTTTTCCCCTCACTTTTTATTTTTCATACTCTAGTGTTTCTATCTGTTTTAATAATTTAATGTTAGGAAATATATGCCATTAGCCATCTTGCATTTTCACATTGCTATAATTATAATGGCATATGAGAATTTATAATGCGCTTGATAAAGTTGCTAAAGTAATGGGGTAACTTGGAATTTTTTACTTATAAGTCTCTGAAACCCCCGTCTACCGTCTGGATGTGATGTGAAATTTACTTTTATTTATGCATCTAATTTGTCCAAGGAAATCTCTTCATGTTTTGTTTGAAGTGATTCTGGGTTTATTTGAGAGATAGTTACTGATTATATATTTTAAATGGTGTCCTGAATTATAACTCTCACACTTCTGTATTTCAGCCTCATGACTTATTGAACTCATATTTCTTTCCTCTGGATCAACTCTTATTTGATTTCTCCTTTGATGAATTTTAGCCTGATCATGGGATGTTTTTGTCGTCCTCTAAGAGGTTAATGATATTTCTTATGTTTCCATTGTAGAGGTGGAGCCACAATACACTGGGGCAAGGATAGAGGGGGATGTTGTTACTTTGGATTTTGTTAAGAAAATGATGGAGGATTTCAAGAATCAAAAGTATTTACACAAAAGGTATGTAGGAAGCCCACTTAAGGATTGTGCCAGATATAATAATTTGTGTGAACAGAAATACATATAACGTATAAATGTGTGTGCGCACATGCATGCATGCATGTATGTATTTGTGTATGAATGTATGCATTTATGTTTGCTTTTCTGAACCATCTGTTATTGGTGCAGATATGCATTCCAGATTGTCTTACAAACAAGAGAGTTGTTGCAAGCCCTGCCTTCTCTTGTTGATATTAATGTTCCTAATGGCAGTCGCTTTACTGTTTGTGGAGATGTACATGGTCAGGTAATTGAATCCTTTGATATTTCTTACCTCTTAATGACAATAAAAGCTGCTGAACTCGACAGGATGCTTTCTTAGTTGGAATTAAGGTCAATGTATGAGTGCATTGCTTGGTAATTAGAAAAATGGCATACAAGAATTCACTAGGTAGTTTTCTTAGTCATTATCTTGTAATTGCATTACTTCTTGATGTATTACCATTACTTTCTTGTGTTCCATCTCTTCTGCAACTGTGTTAAATGTAGCTTGGAGTCTGGCTAGTTGATTAAATGCTTATTCTTTTTCTTATTTTACATTTGATGCTTATTTGTTAACATGCTTATGCTTTTTTTTATTGGTTGCAGTTCTATGATCTGCTAAATATTTTTGAGCTTAATGGGCTGCCCTCGGAAGAGAATCCATACCTGTTCAATGGTGACTTTGTAGATAGGGGATCCTTTTCTCTGGAGGTCATCCTCACGTTGTTTGCATTCAAGTGCATGTCCCCATCAGGTGAGCCTTGCTCAGATATTCTCGGCCTCAGATTATGTACAGGCCTTTGCAGTTACAATGCTAGTGACTCAATCACACTTGCGAATTGCCAATTTCTCACTGGGATTTTGTGGGTCTACATCTGAGTATTTCTTCACTTCTTTTATCTCTATTGCCTTTTGCTTATTGTGGTTACAACTTCACATGTATTGCTAATGCAGGGTCATATTTGTACTTTTCTTTTGCCACATGCTCTATAGCCTTGTTGGTTGTCCCCAGTAAAACTCTTTGACTGATGTGTGCCAAGCCACATTAGAAATGGGCTAAAAAACTAAAAGCTGTTGCTTGCTTGGCTAAAATCCTTGGTGCTAGAGATGCCCATGATCTGACCTACAACTATAAGCAATCTCTTCCCACATCAAATCCACTCTGTTATGTCACTCAAATCCCCATTGTTTGTTTCTTACCCGTGACTCAGAATAAAAACCACATACACCATGACCATGCCTATTTCACTGTTGACCCCCATGATTACTCTAATTGGGCAGCCTTCAATGTTTTCTAGTACTACTAGGACCACTCGGTTACTTGATCATAAAATGTAAGTAAAACCACCAACATGATTGTCAGATTAGCCGAAATGAAGGAGACAATCTTGGAATTTAGTAAGGTTGTGGGAGGCAAAATGTTCCAATAGAATAAAAAAAAAGAAAAAATCAGTATGTGCTTTGGTGCTTTGAGGTGAGGGGAAGATATAAGAAAATAGAGGAGAGAGTGGGGTTTATTAAGCTAATTTTAATTATTCTTACCATCAAAAAGAATTTCTTAGGCTTATACATAACTTTATCTACATTACATGTTATATCTTCCATTCTTTTATGCTGGACATGAAGTGTATGTGATTGCTAGGTTCTTCCTAAATCTGAATTCATGATTTATTATTGTCTGTTGAGTATTATATGGTTGTGGTGTTGATTTGAGCTTTTCTGCATTTGCTGCCTGGAAAATTTCAGCTATCTATCTTGCTAGAGGAAATCATGAGAGCAAGAGTATGAACAAGATATATGGTTTTGAGGGTGAGGTTAGGTCGAAGCTGAGCGAAACATTTGTAGAACTCTTTGCAGAAGTATTCTGTTGTCTACCATTGGCTCATGTAATAAATGAGAAGGTTTTTGTAGTTCATGGTGGTCTTTTCAGTGTTGATGGGGTGAAACTGTCTGATATCCGAGCAATTGATCGATTTTGTGAGCCTCCTGAAGAAGGTAAAGGCATACATGTGGTTTCCTTGTGTTCCTTCCAACCATTTTTCAGGTTTATGTGATGTTTGGATGCAAATTTGTGCATTATGCATTAGCAATTGATGATTTTTCTGTATCATTTTAGCAACTGATATGTTTTCATTTAATTGGTGATAAAATTCTTAGTTCTTAAACATAATTTAACACGCAACCACTGTCACACAAAAACGTTTTGCACTCAATTATTATTTCACCTGGCAGGAGAGAAGAACATTGAAGACACACACAAACACATGTATATATATAGTTTGCAAAGAATACTGAATAGATTGCAAGACTGAGACTAGCACTTATGTAGTTTCAATAATTTAGTACTTAGACATGGTTTTTGAAGAATTATTTTGCTTAGTGTCCACTTTCAAAAATGAGTCAGATTCTGTAGATATTGTTATAAAAGGGTTTCTTGTCTGATTCATCAGGACTAATGTGTGAATTGCTATGGAGTGATCCACAACCTTCCCTGGGAAGGGGTCCTAGTAAGCGAGGAGTTGGTCTGTCCTTTGGTGCAGATGTGACAAAAAGATTTTTGCAAGACAACAATCTAGGTATTTTTCTGCTACAGCGAGTAGTTTTATTCTTTCGAATATTTAACTTACATGTTTAATTCAATTGGCAGATTTAGTTGTTCGGTCTCATGAAGTAAAAGATGAAGGTTATGAGATCGAGCATGATGGTAAACTTATTACTGTATTTTCTGCACCAAATTATTGTGATCAGGTAATGAATTGTTGATTTACTATAAATGTGAT